TGTTAGCTTCCTTTAATAGAAACAATGCACCCAGAAGAATTGAGTTACCAACCCCCCCCCCTCCCCCCGGGTCAGACAACCCTTGCCATGCCAGGTCCAGTTCTGAGAGGTGAATGTTGAAAGAGGTCCTGAAAGTTGCCTGTCACCGACACTTGCAAATCATGTCATATGAGAAAAAGTTAAAGAGCTAGAGATTCTTAATCTTAGTTAATGAGGAGTAGAATTTGGTAGAATATAATAGGCTATCAAGTAAAAGGCAGGGCCATTAGATTGTCTATCCAAATGATGTAGAGCCATCAGGGAAGTTCCAGGGAAGTGGGTCTATGCTTAATTTGAGGAGCTGCCCAGCAGGATAGGGGGCTGTGCTGAGTTCCCCTCTATTAAAGGAAATCACACTTAGTCAGCAAAGGGGGAAATTAGCTTTGGGAAGTTCTGTCAGCTTAGGGAAGCCATCTCAGGATAGTAGAGTTCTTCCTTTGTACAAGTCCAGAACTTTATGTAGTTTGGACCCTCAGCAAATTTGGAATGCCAAGCCATATATAAGTGGTCAGTTACAAATTATATTTAGATATCTCATACATTATGTTTAGAGACTCCTGATCTATCCTAACTCTCCAGATAAATCTTTTCTCATCACTTTTGTCACATGTGCCACCTTTAGAAGCAACAGAGTGGAGGCTGAAAGACCACTTGCAGTACAGGGCATTCATGCAGGGGATAAAAATCAGACAGGCTGCTGCTAAAGTCCCTCATCATGGAGCTTCTGCCATTCCAATGGAAGACAGAAGTATGTGTTCTGTAATTAGGGGCAATTATGACATGATGTGGGAAATGTCATAAGGAGCCTTTACCAAACAGAAAGAAATACAAAGGAAAGTTAGAATGATGATCATATTCTATAAAACTGTACCTCACAACTGTGGCGGGCACTAAGTATGCTTGGAACCCCAGCCCAGGAGTACTGCACACCCTTGGCCTCAGAGGAGGACTGAAGAGAGATTATGAATGGTACTGAATAAGTTTCCCCTCGTAGACGGAAAAAACAGTAAGTGCATCTATTCCTGCTCGTACCCTTTATTCTGTAATTCTCTTTGAATCTAAATGATTAAGCACATTTTCTATGAAGAAGCCAAAGGTACCTGAAAAGAGATACATGGTCAAAGAAAAATTATTATTCTTTGATTCTGTTTCTCTTCCCTGGTTTGTGCCTGGTTTACTTTCTGGGGGAAACAAAGCACATATAGATCAGATTATCCATCAACTTTGTGTCAGAGGGTGAAGTGAAAATGTTCTCATGAAAATTTTAGCTCAGAATAGACACATTTGATGGTTCCCATCACTACAGGAAGCAGTGTTCAGAATGGCAAGAGTTGTTTTCTCTCTGTTATGAAACAATAAATTCATTGATTAAAAGACTCCATTTTTCTAAAGAGGTTAAACTTCACTCTAGAATTTGGTATTGCTTTATGAGCATAAGGCCAGAATTGAAAAGCTGACTTGAATTTTAAAGCATAAGGAAATTTAAAAAATAGAGTTGGACTCTACATTCATTAGCTGTGTGACTATTGGCAAATGAGGTAAACTTCCTATGCCTAAGTTCCTTCATCTGTCAGATGAGGATAATAATGCCTACCTTGAGTGGTTCTTGTGGGAATGAAATAAAATATATAAAAGTCCCCAGTGCAGCAAAAAGCTAGCAGAGCTAATAGGAGCCACTGACAGAACTGTGACCAAGCCAATTGTCATCTTGCAGGATGCAGAGCTGTGACTGCTCAGAACAGCAAGTGGGGTCCACAACTGAAATAGCATTAGCTTTTTGAAGTTAGAATGAGATCTTTGTTAACTTCAGATTTCATGGGAAAAGGATGCATTAATCCCAGTCACTTGTTTGATCAGTATCCTAGTGATGTAAAGGAAGTAACATCAGTTTTTGAAAATTACTTGAATTAGAGTTTCCTGGTAATTTTCATTTCAGGTAAGAATCATTATTGAATAGGAGTTAGATTTGCCAAAGGCTACCCTGGATGGAACTAACTTTGGCACTTCTGTAGATACTTCTGTCAGGTCACTGAGTACCATTTAGTACCAGCCTGATGTCCTGCCTAAATGATATGACCATAGTGTAGTGTGCTCACCTACTTAATTATTAGTTATCCAATTATTAGATGTCCTGAAGGGTTAATGATGCTCAACTATCTTTAGTGAGAACACATTGCAACAGAGAGAATCAAACTCAAAGGTGTTTCTTTGAACACATTAACTGCATGTCCCAGGTAGAAGATCTAGGAGAGAGATAAGATATGGTTGAATTACTTAAAGTGCTTAAAAAATATTCCTCATAGAATATCCACAGGGCTTAGGAGATGGAATTTATTTCCTGGTTTAGCATTTGGCAGAAATTGCTTAGCATTTGTCAGTGGAAAGATAAGCAGAAGCTCTGATTTCTGTTCTCAAGAAAACACACTTGGCTCCATACTTTCTCTATAATTACCCCTTGACCCTCATTTTGCATTAGAATTTGAAGGAATAGGTCCAGTACTTTGCATTTAGTTAATTTGGTAAGTTCATTGTACTCTCCTCCCTGGGCTATTCAATAGTTCAGAAATAAACATTGCAGCACTTGTTATATATGTAACATGCAGCTGGAGCTGCGTTTATAACAAATGGTTATTATTTAATTTTTACATAATACTTTGAAAGTATTTCAGAATAGTTCTTATTAATAATAATTAGTCAAATATATAACTGAGTTCAATGGTTAAGAGAAAAATAAAATTCTGATTTTCCATTGAAAGGTGCAAGCTCAGGAAGAGAGAAAAATACTTATCTGTTTTTATATTGAAAAACAACGTATCCGGACAAATACATGTCTCAAGCAACATAACCCAAAGTCAACAGATTAACTGGACCAAAATTCAGGCTGCCCCCTGAAGCAGGTTAAAGTTCACAGAAGTCTGCCATCTGTTCCCACTTCCTGAACTTTTGAGCAAAAACCAAGGAAGCTGTGAACAGCGTGCTCTCTGCGAACATTTCTGCCTCCAGGAATGAGCAAAGGCTTGTGTGGGCTCATGGGGCTTTGCAGCGCTGACAACCGGTGTTGGCAGCCATGAGGTGTCCAACAGTGAAACCTGACTCTTTAGTGAGCAAGGGCCTATTGTGACATACTTGGCTCCAAGCAGAGGTCACTTGAATTTCAAGGGTGACTCAAGTCTTGGAGTCCAGTGGAGATGAAGGGTGGGATCCAAGCGTAGACCTGCCCCTTCCAAATTAGTGGGGCCGAGGGTGACACTACAGTGTACAGGTTAGGAGGATCCAGGTGGGTCCTCTCAGGAGGTACCGCACGGATGTATCTTGGCTTTCATAATCCTGGCAAAGGTGTCAAACCCTGAAGGCACATCACAGTGTGTGTACGGAGGTGGGGAGAACTCTTTACCGCCGAGCCACACCTCGCCGCTCAGCCTTGCACATTGCTTGACTCAGACCTAGCCCCATCCACGTTCTCTTTCTCTGTCCACCGTCTGATCGGCCCCTATTTCCAGACGATCACTCCTGGGGACTGGGGAGGTTTAGCGGTTCGCTCAAGCCGGTTGCACTGAGGTCGCGGCGCCCGGCAGCGGGTGCGGGGAGGAGAAGGGCTCCGGGCGCAGCCGCGGTGCGTGCGCCCTGCCAAGAAGGGCGGGGGAGCAGGGCGCGCACGCGGAGGAGGAGAAGGGGGAGAAGGCCGGGCTCGTGAGCGAGACAGCCGGCAGAAAAGGGAGCGCGCCCGCTGCCGCCGCCCTCCTCCAGAGAGAGGCTGGAGTGAGGCTGTGCGGAGCGCCGCATTTCAAAGAGGACGGGCCGAGGCTCATCCCCGCCCTAGCCGCCGAAGCCCAGACGCCCACGCTCCCTCAGCT